GGAACTCAAATATTAACCATATTTTCCTGATAATGAGCTTTCTGCCAATATTTTCCATAGAGATGCATGGCAAAGATTTTTCAGATAACCTGCTTTGCTGTTATTCTCTCCAAAGAGAGATGTTCTTGTATGTAAATCTGATGCTGTTGTTAGTCAGGATGGCCTTAGACGACTGTTGGAAGTGTCAGAAAATTTTGCTTCAGTAGTGAAATACCACTGAGCACACCACCTAATCTTTCAACGCAAGTGTAGCACTTAACTGAGTTCTTATTTGGGGGACTAGTGTACTGAGCCAAATCACCTTGCCTACCTTCTGAACATTTGTTACACTGAGTTAGGACTATTAGCCCTTTAATAGTTACCCTAGAATGCTTTCCACCTTTTCATTCTGGTTGTAATGTCCAAACAGGGATTCTCTGGTTAGGAGTGAAGATGAGAGAGCAACCCAATTTTAGAGGTTGGCACCTGTGTTTTAGATACAGCTGATCAGTGTTTACTTTCCTGGTGACTTTGGGTAGGACAGATGGAACTACAGAGAATGCAGAATTACAAATGATGGGAAAAGTATTACTTGTAAGTGAAAACTGACGTAGTAACCTCTGCCCAAATACAGTATAAATCCTGCAGGGAGATGAGCTGGTGAAAGGGTTTCAATCTATTTACCAGCCACTTTTTCCCCCCTCACCCCACCATAAATGGTTCTTAGCCTATAAGCCATGCTAATATCCTAGACTCAGGAATTAATTCCTGCTTATCTGTGCCCAGTTTTGTCCTAGGCCTACCCACACCCCCTGTGTCTTGCTAGAAAACATACTTAAGGCATGGTCTTACCTAAATCAGTACTTTACTGTTGGTGTTGCTGCCTATTACAGCCAAAGTAATTTCCTTAAAAAACAACAACGGGAGTAATGCCTAGGAAGTTCACTGAGGCATGTTATCTCCGTGAATCTGGAGGAAGCCATGGAGTCTTCCCTTTCTTCCCTCTGTGTTGAATGAACACTGGCCTTACGTGTTTTATCAATATTACAGAGCCAGTTGACCAAGGTCACTGGTTCTCCATCTTGGCTGCACGTTAGAACTGTCTGGCGTGTAGTGCAGCCTGGGCTTTAAAAGCTCCCTAGATGATTCTTCTGTGCAGCCAAGGTTGAGAATCACTGCCTAGGTGATCCTAGTGATTTTTGGTGCGATAACCTTGGTCTGGTTCTCCTTGACATTAAGATTCTATACCTTTATTGATATCAAGGTCAAGGCTCAGGTGATAAAGTAGATCCATTTGTCTCAGTAATCCTGGAGGGAGATGCTGCCATCCATCCTCCTTCCTCTCCATACCAAATGCAAAGTATGTCTAAATAAGCAAAACCCATTTTTCAAAGTCTGATCTCCAGAATCCTCTTTCCTTTGCATATGTGATTTAAGTGGAGATTTCTCAACTCCCCTAGCTGAAATAGAGCCCTCGAGTTTATTAAAAGAGCCAAGCCCAAGTTGCCTAGGATGATTTCTACTGGTGAAATAAACAGGTAGCGTTGTTAAAGCTAACGGACCGAAGGGATCCTGCCTAGGCCAATAGTGACTGACTTGGTTATTTTTCTCGTAGCCTGTCTTCTAAATGGGATTTCTGTGTCAAGTGACTCTCACCTTCTTTGACTGTTCCTTTGTGAATGAGACAAACTAGCCAAGACGTAACTGTTACTAACTTTTAGCTTAACTGAATACTACATGAAATGTGAAATGAATCATTTAATGTCTTTATTACAGGATGTCCAAAAGACCCAACCCAGTAATTCCCAAAAGAGGTTCTATACCTTACATTTTTCTCACCCAGGCTAGTAAAGATGTTTCAATGGCTATCACAGTTTATTACCTGCCCATGGTGTGATGAGTGGGAGGGAGGAGTTCTGTTATTACCCTTAGAATTTGAGAATCACAGTTCAGAGTAGCTACCAAATGACTTCTAGCTTTATAAAGGAAAAAAAAAAAAAGACTTGTGTTTAAGAGCAAGTTCAAATGTAATAATCTCTTTTCTGAAAGTATTCTGGACACCATAAAAAATTTCATTTATATTTTGCCTTCAAAGAATTGATCATTTGAATTTCAATTAGGTGATATGTGCAATACAGAAAAGTAGATCAAGGTTTCTAAAGTTGGTTAGTCCAGAGGACGAATCAGCATCCAACCGTAGAAGTTTGTTAAAAGCAGCATTGAGGCCTGGCTGATGCCTAGCAGTGCAGGTTGCCTCCTGCCTTTGGAAAATTTGTTGAAGGCTTCCTGTTATTGGTGGAATAGAAGAGCAATAACCTCTGGGACTACAAAAAGAGTAGCCTCTTAGGGTTTTAATACTGAAGAATGTTGCAGAGTACTGTGAAATGTTGAACTTTATGCAAACTATACAGCATTGGATTCTAAACTTTTTCAAGCCTCTGGGTCTGGGACTTGAACCAGAGTTGACCGTGTGGGATCCAATGCCTTAACCACCATGCCACCTGCTGGCCCTGGATGCTAAGATTTTTGCAGGGAGACTAGAGGGGAAGAATACATATATAACCTTGTACTATATTTTAAGCAAAAAATGAAACTCCCTCACAGGAATTTCCTGTCAGACCGTGAAGTTTGGTCAAGTCCTTCTGCCCTAATGGGTTGGTTTGTTGTTTCTTCTTAACCCTCTAGGGTGTACTTTATGAAACAGCTCAACAAATGCCAGTCTGACCTATTTCACCACCCTGCCCCATCCCCACACCTTCACCAAAAGAAAAGTGTTTCCACCCTGTAGGCAAAAGAAATGTGTTCTGTTTTGACCTGCTGTGATTTGTGATCTGGTGACAGAACTTAAATGGTCTGCCAGTTCAGTCAGGAGCCGATGGCTTCCTTCCCCTTTAAGAACTCTTGAAATCCGAACTCTCGATTTTGGACACATCCGTGAGTAAAGGGAGAAGTACACTGAAAGAGCATTTAAATTTCCTGGCTCTTCATAATTGCAGGGTGATGGTACCCACTCACACTCTGCCTATAAGAGAATAGAAGGCTGAGGGGTTCATAAAGTCAATGTAGCAGAAATTTGGTTTCCTTCAGATGGACGTAGTCTGAAAGAAACCGATCCAACAGTTCTCTATGGTGCTTACCTGATGGGTGACGCTGTCTCCCATCTACCTGTCCCTGGAACTGTGCCTTCCCACTGGTCACTGTGAAAAGCAGATCACACTGGACTCACAGGCCAGAACCCAGGACAAGCCCTCCCTTCTCATCTTAAGCCCATCACTTCTCTGTACAGCTGATAATGTAGCATTTACTTCTCTTTGGGAAACTCTTGGGCTTTTTCCCCCAAGAAATATAGTAGAGCATTTAAAGGAAAGGAGTTGAAAATAAGATTTTGGTGGTAGCTATAAATAAAGAGGCTACAGGAAATTTTACCTTCCCTCAGCTAATATAGATTGATAATAAGGATCAACTATGCTCGCCTCTTCCTGGGTTTTTAAAGGCTAGCATAGTATTTGTGAGCAACAAACTTCCCTAAACATTCTTCACAACTTGCTAATCAAAAAGGAGTCATTTTCAAACAGACAATCAGTTTCTAAAATGTTATCCCTGAAAGGGAATGGGATAGAGTATTTTTAACTGCGAGAACCTAGCAGTCTTTTTCTCTTTGAAAAAAACTAATGTTTGATTTGTGTCTTTCGTCTGAAGCAGTTTCTCTTAAACATGCCTCAGGAAAGTCAGTGAGCCAGGATAACGCTCTTGCACTTCTGCGGGTCCTGGACTGGCTTTGGGCATCTTATTTCCTAAGAATATCTGTTTTTATTATGACCTTGAATATAAATACCTATAAATAGAAATAGAATTTTCTCTCACCCCACCCTCCTTTAATCGTTATCACTTAAATTGTAAACCACCACCTCTCCACTTCCCCCTTTACTGAAAAAATGCACTTTAATTCCCAAGGATAGTGGCTCTTCCTGGTCCTGAAACCAGATTACTTCAGGAAAAGACAGGAGGAGGGAGAACTCTTGCCAGACCCTGTGAAATTAACCAAAATTCTTAATGTAAACATAAAAATTACCATATCTATTTTTAAGCTGTCCCAAAAAGAAACAGCCACCAAATTGAAAAAGTTTAAAATGCCTACCCAAATTTTGGATGTTTCACTGGGGGAAAAATAAAACTCTTAGTTGTTCTCAGCTACCAGATTGTTGGAACCTTCTGTGTTCTTTTCTGGAGGGCTGAGATTATTTTCCATTGAAAATCTAGTGAAAACACAAAGGATCTAAAATATCCTGATTTGTGTAATTTCTGAGTGTCAGATTGTTCTCCCTGAGTTTGACAGGTGTTCTCAGTCTCTCCTGTAGATTCTGCCCTTCCCTCATGACAAACTGATAGTTCTTGGTGGGGTTGCATGTCTCCTAGAGCCCCAGGAGCCCTGTGGTGTCGGGGGAGGGGGGAGGGCAGGAGGGTGGGCAGAGACTTGGGTTGGGGGAGGGAGATGCGAAAAGAGAGTGAAGATATGGGTTTATATAAACATATTTAAAGCAGTTTAGCAAAAGCTTTCTCGTTGAACAGCTTTAAGAACAATGTGAATGAAAACTTAGCAACTTGGTTAGTAATCTGAAAAGTCTATTAATGTATACTTGAAATTCTGTTTGTATAAAAATGCATTCTCTTTATTTTAACACTGTGTAAAAGAACATTATGCATGTGTGTGGTTTGAGAATTAAATGGTTTAATATTCAGATTTGAATCTCTTTCTTCTGTGCACAGAGATTAATTTGTTTCAATGTTTTGGATTTTTAACGTGATAGGAATACTGAGAATGCAGGCTGCCCTGCCCTTTCAGGACGTCTGCCACCTTTCAAGATGAAGTAGTGACAGAGTTCCCGCTTTCATTTTGTTGACCCAGATATGGCCACTGGCAGAGAACCACTGAAAGCATCATTTTCCCAAATGCCTCAGTAGCTTCTCTTCCCATTTCTCCTGTCCTTGTCTTCAGCTCAGATGGCAAAGTTCACTTAGAATTGTGAGACGGGAGTAGTTGTGTTTATTTTTACTTCTATTCACAAACCATAAAAGGAAGAAGTACAAAGATAACACTTTAGTTAACACAAGGGTTGGCTACTCTGCCCATGAAAATAATAGTGTTCAGAGCAACTTCCCTTATGAAAACCAGGAAGGGCCGGTTGGCCTTGAAGGTCACTCTGTTGGGGTTCAGCGAACGGCCAGCAATCGTGATGACGGTGCTCGCTGCTGCTTCACTGCCTTCCTCATTCACCTGCAGGTCACACAGGAAACAAAACTCCATTTCTGCAGCTCATTATAAGCAGGTAAGTCATCTACACACACAGTTCCTCAAATGCTATTTGTTTTCCAGTAGGGAGGACACTTGGGCCAGGTTGGGTTCCCTCTGGAATCCTGCTTTTATCCATCCTTCCATCCCGTGAGTGTAATGAACCTGTGTCCATCCAAGCCTTGGGCTAATCCTGTGCAAGAGTTGCACATGTGTAACCTGAGTCAGAAACTGGAGTGTGCACCTGTTGTCACATTTTCTGGCTGGCACCATTATACTTGATTTTACAGAGGATTATTTCATACTAACTGCTAAAAGAGATTTTTAACTCAAGATCACAGCTCCGTAATTGAAATGGTTTCGACTCAAAGCATTAAGATTCCATATATAATCCCCAAGCAACCATGCAGGACCTAGGGCTAATGAAAAGACCAGGGTCCTCTGGCTGGACGAGATGAGTTTTTCTTGACATAATAGACTGAAACAATAATATTCGGACTTGGATAATGAACAGAGTCACCACAGGTCTAGAGGGAAGATGCCATCAGGAAATTTTGCCTGGGGATCCAGAATATCACAGAAACTGTCTCTGCCTCTTACTGAAAGCAATTCAGATCCTTGAACTTTGTGAAGCTGGATAAATTTTCTCCTTCCCTCTTGCTCTTCCTCCCCGCTTCCTTCTTCCTCTTCTCTTACCTCTGTCTCCCTCTATTATCTATTTCGTGCTCATTCCAGGATTAAGTTCATCAGCAGACTAGAGCTTTCGCAAGATCATCAAGTCAGTTTCTGGCTTTTAGTGACTTTTGTGAAGGAAAACAACTTGAATCCAAGAGCCATGTGAACTGGACTTGTGCTTCTAAATTAATTATCACTCAAAGCTCTAGAGGACTGAGTTGACCACTAATAATTGGGACCCTTAGAAGAGGATTTTCTTTCTTTTTTTTTTTTTTTTTTGTGGAGAAGTTTTTGCTATAGGGTGCATGCACTCGCCAGACAAACAGAAACGCAGAGACAGAAAGCAAGAAATCACCCCCCAGGGGGGATGGTCATGCCGCAATCCCTTCTCCATTCTCTCGGGATCTTGGGCATGCATGCACATGCGCCCAGCGTGAATTTTAAGCCACCGGGTCCGGGACATGAACCGCAGTCGACTGTGTGGGAGTCCAGCAACATAGCCATTACACTAACTGCTGGTTCCCAGAAGAGGATTTTCAATGAGAATTAAAACCTGGAGACTTAACTTCCCTTGCAGTATTCCTAAGAGTTGTGATTTGCAAAACCATTAATCCAGCACTTGTGTAAAAACCACTTATTCTAGGGGACCAGCAGGTGGTGTGGTGGTTAAGGCGCTGGACACTCCCACGTGGCCAAATGCGGTTCGAATACTGGACCTGGTGGCTTGCTTTCTCACTTTCCCTCTCTCTCTCTCTGTGTATCTCTCTCTGGTCTAATTAAAATAAATGAATGAATGAATAAAATTAAATGAATAATTATTTTAAAAATCACTTGTTCTAACTTAAGTACCTTTGAGATTCATCTTTCTGCTCCTGCTCTTGTCCAACGGGTCACTGGTATCTATTGTCCCATAGATCGTATCCCCACACTGCAGATTTGGCACCTAGCCTTTCTGTCTGTCCCAGCTCCTGCTACCAGTTGATCTAGACCCATTTAACCCCCTGCCTTTCAATTTCTTGCATCTGTCAAACCCAGTAAGTGTTACCTTTACACCACTTAAATCAGTCTCAGGATTACACCACGGACTTGTTATCTCTCAAAATTGCTCTACCTTTGAAATTGCAATTACAGTATCCTTTTTTCAGACTATAATCTATTTTTCCAAGCTATTGCA